ACTTTAAAATTTTAAAATACATGGTCTAAGTTTATTTAAAAATTCCAAAAATCAGATTAATGTTTACTTTTATTATAGACAAAAAAGGGGTTGAACATGATTGATGAATCACTGCATATCCATGATATAATTGTCAATAATATCTACCTGTATATTTTTTTATTATTTTTTTTTTTTATTGCAAAATTCATCTTTTTAATTCGGACGAACCACCCTTTTTTTAAAAATCACCAATTCCGTTCGTTGTCGTAAAATTAATAAAAAATATGTATTATAATACAATATTAACCTGTGTTGTTGAAGCCTTAATAAACTATTAAAAAAAAAATAAAATAAAAAAAATACAATATTATTAGAAATATTTACAAGAGGGACACGTGCGATGTGCGGTATTGTATACGCATTATCTTACATGTAACATAATTTTATGGGTATGGACTATGGACTTTCCTACGGTACCGGTGGTATATAATATAACATTATATATAGTGTATGGAGGAAGAATTAATTTATTTTCCGGTGCTCGTTACACTCGGACGACGGGTGGTTTTTCGTCTCGAATTACTATATGTTATGGTGAAATTAGTTAATGGTGATCCGATTGTGTAGCGTTTATTCGTTGGCACGTCATTAAACACCAGAAACGGGCAAGTACCGACATGTTTATACAGATTCGTCGAGCGAATGAAATGTGACAAGAAAAAACATCGAACAATTACCCACATTCTATAACGATATCGTGCGATACTTAGCTCCTACAACTGAATTTCGTACACTCGTATTCAAGTATAGGCTCATTGACGCATTCAATTGTACATAAAATGTTATTATACAAAGTATAATCGGATATTGTATTGAATCCCGTAGAAACTAGAGGATACCTAGAACTATTTAACGGGAATGGCGGACCTCTAGGTACGTGTTTTATTCTGTGATGTCAGTATTGAGTAATTTAGAAGAACATATATTAAGTAATAACCGAATAATTTTTTGTTGCATTTAAACATAAACTTTACATTATTTACCATAACACGTCGACACGAATATACAACTTTTTATTGATACACATAATAAACTAAAATATATTTAAAGGTGTCCACTCTCATAACGTCTTTGAACTTTTTAATTACCAATGTTTCAGCTTAGTAGCTTTTATCAAATTAAGATTTTTGTAAATTAAAATCTCCAGTTTACACCTAAATATGATCATAAAATCATAACCATGTCATTATTTTTTTTAAATTATTATATAAAAAATTCTAATTTTATATTTTTATGACTTATTGGAAATGGAAAAATTTCGAGCAAAATTAAAATTCAAAACCCAGAGATACTTCCTGGCTTATAGGTTATAGTGGTTATACTATACTAAAATATGAAAACTTTTTTAATTTTTTTACTTAAAAGCTGCTGAATTCGTCGATAGTAAATTTCGTTTTGAAGGTAGAATAAAAATACCACTTTTGAAACCCAATTTTACACCCTAAATCGACCTCTACATCTATAGAACTACATGTGCCGAATACATAACCGATTAATATTAATCATTATTCATTATGCATAGCAATACACAATCGATCGTACAAAGGCATATGTTTAATGACGGTAGACATATCTACACTTTTTGCCGTCATGGGTCACGGACTCATCGTTTCGGTGCAAGTCCAACGTAGTGCGAGTCGGTGGCAAGAGGAAAGTAAAAAAAAAAACTCGAAATCGGCGTTGGGGTGCTCGAAATATGCCGTAAACACGCGAGCGCGGCATCCGAAACGATGGGATGAGAATTCAAAACATCGCGTCGACCTTGAAACTGACGAAAATAAAATATAAACACAATCCCGTTCGATCGCCGGCGACGGCCACCCTCGCCCTACTGTGCGTAGACAACTGCAAAATATATAAATGGGGTCAACGCGGAACAGACGGGGAAAGAGAGTACACCGCACACACACCGCTCTGTAAAACGACGATCGGAATATCGTTCTATTGAATGTTTTATCGTGATAGGTAAACCTATACACGGCTTGTTGTCGTGGGTGTTTTAAAGCAACGGTCTCCGACGAGCGTAAGTAATTTAGTATTAATAATAATAATAATAACGATTGATAATAATATTTTCATCACGCCATGTGCGCGCATTACGTGAGATGATAATGCACAAACGACTGTCCGGTCGCGAGAACGCGTCACGCTTGGGGTTAACCGCTGTAGATGTCCCCCACCCGAAAGTCTTTGTCGACCGGAAAGGGATCGCGAATAAATTCGGAACTATACGTCATATTTTTGTATCGCGCGACGCTTGACGTCCAGTTTTTTTATCGTGTACAGGAAACGTTTTATCTCTTATTCACGCGTCGCACGCGTAAACGTATTAAATTTAGGGCCAGGATTTCAATGCGAAATACATTGTTGTTTCGGTTGTTTTAGAACAAAGAATTCCAAGCACAAAATAATTCGTTTCACGCATTTTCAGGTCGTTTCACTGATTCTTGGTGCATACGTTGAAACATTGTACGTGCTTATAGCGTAAATTAGGAAAATCAAAATATTGTATCAAGAAATATTGTGGTGTTCATAAATCATAATGTTAGCTCCTGTTTCTGTAAAAGTTTTTATGTACCTATTTTTCGTCCGCGCACCAAATACCATTCGTGTTAAATATGAATGCGATAACGTCTTTATCTGCCGCTGGCGGTTTTCGGTCGTAGTGTACTACTAGTGTCTAACCTGACCGCGAGACTCGACCGAAGACAGTCCAAGATACTTCGCTAATGCGCGTTATTCACCTTAAAAAATCTGTTTGTCGCGCGCCTACAAGTTTAGTACCAATTAAGTTATTGTCTTTATAGTCGTTGGGTGAGTAGTCGAGATAAAAAAAAAGTATTGAAAATTTCGAAAGTCGAACCGTCGTTTGTTTTACCGTCGCTCGTCTAATTGCGCGCGTACAGCGAAACAACGTCGGTCATTCTGTTAAGGGCTTTATTTTACGTTGAACAGATATTCGTTTACTACTTTTCACGGCATTTATAAACCCGAACCTCAGACCGCACAAAGAGCGAGTAACGAACGCGCACGAGATCCGCGAGCGCGGAGGAGAGCGGTTTGCGCGTTGACGGTTTGCCAAAACGAAATCGACCATCAAGGTCGTGTGGCGCGGCGAGAGACGAAGAACCGCGTTGTGGACGGCGGAGAGGAGCGGCGGCGGCGGCGGCGCCGAGAGAGACCGAGACGGACGGACGGACAAATCCGCGCGACTTTCCGTCGCACACGATAATAATTATTATTAAAAGATCTCGTCGCAGTCGTCGACGTTTTTCGCCAAACCGCACACACTCGAAAAACGTGTATCCGATATACAAATAATAATAATAATAATAATATAAACGCACACCTATTCCGAGTATCAGCGCACACCGACACACACACACACACCGGCATCGCGCGCAAACACGACGACATTATAACCGGTTCACCTTGACGTCATAGCGTAGAGAGCTGACGACGACGTCGCCGTTATAACACGAGATTACGCCCGACGAAAACCGTGTAATGCTTAATGCTATATTATAATCTCATGCCGTTTATCGCGAGCTCGTTTTTTATTCTTACGATTTTTTTTTTTTCATTTCGTACGACGACAACAACAAATCGTTTACGTAACTGCCATAACTGTTCAACTACTCTATTTTCAGTTTTCGGCAATTTCGATTGTCACGAATTTGCTACACTATTATCCTCCGTGTGCCACCCACTCGTGTGAAGACGATGTAAACACAACTCCGAAGTCATGACGACGATCGGGGCGTGTGCCGATGATAGGTAAAGAAAGAGAAATAAAAAACACTGTGAATGTTGTTTTTTCTAGAAAATAATTTTAATAAAATTTTTTCATTAATAAAACATCACTTAGTCAAAAAAAAAAAAATCACACAAAAGCCTTAACGATAAAAATAATCTTAAAATCACAATAATCATTTGCACACAATAAATTTTCTCATAAATTACACTTATACGATAATAAATTAAAATGTCTAACATTAGATATCGTTATATAAATTCATGTAATCAAAAATATATTATTGATTTTTCGATATTTTATAAACATAAGAATAAAAAAAATTGCTTTGTTACACTCAAGAGCACCTAGGAACATGACTGATACACTTCAAGTTGTCTGCAAAAAGAGCGGAGGGATTGACAAATCACAAGACATAAGTTTAAGTCCAGTCAATACAAATGAATATTAATAGATATACAATAAAATAGTATTTTATAAATATAACTTTACAAAAAAAATTACATCTAATCATTAACTTTGGCCTATTTATTGTCTGGTAAAAAGCTTAAAATATCAGTTAAGTTATTGCATTTTAAATATGTACCCTTTATTGGATACATAAATTAATAAAATCTATAATGGTGAAGGAGGTAAACTTGAAATATACATATAAAAAGGCAACACTGGTTTTTTTCTTATAACAATTTCATTATAGAATTTCGTCAAGAACATAAAAAAAAATATATTATAATATAAAAATATTTTGTGCATTTCAAACATTTTATTAAACATTTTTGGAATATTTTTAGTACTCAAAAACATTTTGAGCATAACATTTACAGTAATTTATGGCTTACGTACAATTAAAAGGCATCAGGTGTAAAATTATTCTATTGCTACTAATTTATTTTCAAAGTTAATAATTAATTAATAAAATTAAGGTTATATTACATACTTTTGCAGTAGATATGGTACCAAAAAAACTTTGAGCACAATATTATTGATACTATGCTAGTCTACTGCAGCAGTATATAAGCACATTTTTATTCAGAACGAATAATACCATGGTAAAGAGTAAATACAAAATAGTAGACAAGTACAATAAAAAAGTATGATAACCTAGTAATTGCACGTTTATAATACATAAATAAATAAATAGGTAATTGATTTGATTTTGTTTTTTTAAAATTACAATTCAATGAATAAATTATTATGTTCTACAATAGTATACACTATTACATACATTTTAAACATATAAAAAGAAACATATTAAAATAGGCTACAAAGAAATTGAGCAACTTTTGAAGCAATAATATCGGTTCATTAAAAATTTTGTAGAAAAATATGAAAAACTCACAGACAGGCAGGAAGTAACACCCAAATTTAGGATGTTTTTGATAAATTCATCCGTGTTCATTATTAACTGTAAAAAAAAAAAAAAATAATATACATTATTAATACTTAATTATAATAAACTATACTTAAACGACAAAATATGTTCAATAACATTTAATTGGTATTAGAAAGGAACTTTATTTCAAATAAGTACATATTCATTTTATACCTATTATTACCAATATTTCTTCTGCATTAGATAAATCAATAAAAATATAAGTTAAGTTTGATGTTTACTTTTAAATTAATTTAAGTAAACGTATTACAGAGTATACTAATCATATTATCAAAATGACTTATAATTTCATATGATGTTTAAAAAAATAATTTTAGATACCTACTATACTAACAGTCAATTAAATACCCACTTCATTAAACATAGTCAATAAACTATTATTATAATGTATGTATTCAATTCATATTATAATTATTAAAGCTTAGTAAAGATTCCCCAAATGTAATTATATAATAATATACAATATGTATAAACTATAAATGATTTTAAAAATATTACTGAATTAATTAAAATGTTTATTTCAAGCAAAAACCAGTAAATTCAATGTAATGGTTAATAATGTACAATATTAAAAACAAATAATTTAAGTATTCGAGTAAAAAGCTAAAATAATGAAGTATAAATGTTTATGAACTTACAGGTCACAGGCAGTTGACTGCAAATTCACATCCATTATGCATGTGTTCGACAACCGTTTGTTTTAATTGACATATCTGTTCCAAGAGTCTATTCAATACTGTGGTAAGTTCAGAATTTTCATTTTTCAGTATTTTAACTTTATCTTCTAGCTTGGCAATACGCTCTAATTTTCTTCGACGGCATTTGGATGCAGCCACTCGATTCCTTTGTCTTTTCCTTTCAAGTTTGATTTTTTCTTGGGATTCCATGTTGATAGGTGACATGGGTGGTGATGATGAGGTGACACTGGGTACGGTTTGAGGTTCTTCTTTGATAACATGTTGAGGAATAATATTGGAAAAGTCATTTGAAGTCATTAACACAGAGTACTGGGGTTCAGATTGGTATTCTGAAGAATTACTACCACTGCTGGTCATTGGTATTTCTACTTGAGTGGCACTGTTAGAATCATTGTTGTGGTGTAGGCATTTGAGCGCTTCGACAAATGGTTGGGCATACATTTCTTGCTCCTCAGTCACAGACTTAGGAAATAGAGATGGTGTAGGTGTGCTGATATGGCCAAGAGCGGTCTGTTGGGATATATAGAACCTTTCCAACTCGGGAGAGCTGAACTTGAGCATGCGTAGATCGGGTGACGTCAACAAAGGTGGCAGGACTTTCAGTTTTTTAGCTGAGTTTTCGTTATTGCAAGAGTTCAAATCCAATGTCATCGGTCTTTTTAGGAAGTTCACTTCATTGGTGTGGGTTTCAACTTTGGGTATAAGAGGATCGTCGTAGAACGCTTCGTCCAACATCATGCAGCTGGACGAGTTATTTACCATTTTAGTTAGTATGATACAAGCGCCCGCGCTTACAGACCTTTTCACTTATTCCACACACGGTTTATTGAAGACTGTGTGATGTACTCTTATTATTTTTATAAACTAGATATAAAAATCAACCCGAGGTTATATATTAATGTATATATAAAAAAAAAAAAAACTTAACGACAATGTTGTAATAAATGTGTGCGGTGTGATAACACGGTGCGTATAAAAAACAAACGATCAAGTGATTAATCACGGCGGTAAACTGAACACGCACAACACGACGGAATGGCACACGGAACGCGAATGAATGAACGTCGGACGACAGGCCGTTCGGGCCCCCCCGATGTGGTTGGCGATGAGTCATCGCGTTATTTTCGGAAAGTAGTGAAATACGTCATTTTCCGGCGTTCTCATTGGCTAGACGGTCGACAGTGTCGACACATAGTGGACGTGGAATCGTCGAGGCACTTATCCACCACCGCCGGTGATTGCCGCCGCCAACACGGATCGAGACGGATAATGGGCATAGAGCGTCGGTGGTGGCGGTAGCGATGGTGGTTAAACGGTCATGCGATACCCGCCAGCCGAAAATGAGTGCGTTTCGCGTTAATTTGTCGACAACTGAAACGGATTTCGGATACTTTGATCGTGACGAAATCTGAAAATCATGATATTATTCACAATTTTACATAGTCCATATCTTACCACACACTTCGCTCTAATCGTGTGTATGTACTTGTTGAACTTTGATACCTACTTATAAGTAGAGGGCTAGCATTATGTAACGAAATAAATGGTTAAAAAAATGTTTTGGTAGATACCGTGCTTACCAAAAAAAAAAAAAAAAAAGTAACATTGAAGAAATTTAAGCTTAAAAAGTATAATAAGAAAGGTAGGAACAAAAAGTACCTATTTAAAAATTACAATTGTATTAAAAACAAATTTATAGGTATGATAGGTACCTTATATAGTTTTGTACTTGTATAATTAATTATTTTCATTGAAACTTATCATAGCATATAATTCGTACTAATGTTTTATAATAGGTATATTTATATACCTTATACCATTTATACCTTGTATACATTGAAATAATCTTTCAAAATCAACTGATGCTATATGCTCCATACTCCAGGTAAATTAAATTATTTGTACTATATACATTGATAGTATTCCAGTATTGTAGTAGTAATTAGAAAAAATTCTCCATACCAAGAAAAAAAACCTCAGTATAAAAATTAAGAAAATATTGTAATGGATATTTTAAATTAAATTATATTATGCGTGCCAAGTTAGATAATTTATTTTTGTATTATTGTTAGCTTAGTTAAGATAAAGAAAATATGTTAAAAATTCTGAATAACAAAAGTTAAACCATTATTTTTTTCTTGGTTGCTGCGTTAAACAAAAAATGTATGTAATTTTTTAGGGCATTTAAATCCAGGCCTTAATTATCATTAAGCAAGCATATAATATGATTTTTTCTCAGGCATAACTTTTCTAAATTCATTTTAGTAAAGGTTATTCATTGCATAGATATCTATTTAATGCTCAACGGAATGCCATTATTAATGTTATCGTTATATTTTATTATAGATATCACTGTGATAAACCTATAAATTTCGATATTCCGATAATTATTTTATCAATTGTCATTCATAAACGATGTCACTTAAGCAGTTAAGTATCTATTAGTTATTTCTGGTTGTAATACAGAAATCAAATGCCATAAAATTATAGAATTAGGTGAAATTTTAGTGAAAAATTAGCAAATAATGGTATTTGTTGATGGAAAACAGCATTTTGAGGAAAAGCAAGGATAAGTCAAATTCATTGATTTCAGAATGATACGAACTACATTTCAATGTGAAAATGTTCTTTCTATCATAATCCTCTCTAAAAAAGCATTTGTAACGAAGTCTAAAATCTACTTATAAGTTATACCAAAGCTAGAATTATGTATAATTTAATTTAACAAGCATGTACAGTGCACACTACCATTTTAGATTCTAAAACGAATGATGTTGAACTAACCTATTAATTATACAACGACATGTGTGGTTTTTTTTATGTGTATCTATATATGTTATAGTAAAAAAAAATGCTTTGATTTACAACTTTCGTATCTATTTTGGTTGGAAAGTGAATCTAAGTAAGCGCCATTCTGCTGTACTGTATAGGTGACAAGTGTTAACTCGTTATTGGGTACCTAAGTCACTGCATGTATACGCAAGTGTTCAATTTCAATTCAATGATCATAATAATTGCATATGAAAAACAATTTTGAATGGAGCTTACTTTGTCTGTCTAGGCTTTTTGCCATAAACATTGCATTTATTATACCTACTATTGATATTTAATTATAATAATAGTATTTGTTATTTTGTATTCATATCATGTATTGTTATTGTTCTTAACTTTTAAGTCAATACTGACTTAACGTAGAACGGCGTCGATGGTGCAGTGCTGCAGCGGTCTATTAATTTAATAATTTTAATATTCATATATGGTATAAATAGGATAACATAAATCTATATGTTTAATACAAGAATACAGTACGTAATAGATAAAAAAAGATGCTTATGTATTTTTAATATTTTTAAATGACTATAATAAAAATTCATGAGAAACTTTTTGTAATAAATTTTTAATCTTTTCACATTTTTCTATCGAAATTTATAGAAAAAGAACTAAAAAACAATTGAATGACAATAATGTCTTGATGTCTGAAAAATATTAAAATTATTTTTAATTATACCATTTATAAAAACTGATTATATAAATATTTGGTGTAAATTTAAGGATTCCTGGTTATTAATTTTTGAACAAAAATAAGAACTTTAATTTTGTCAATAATAGTTTTACGTAAAAATTTCGTAATTTTTTTTTTTTTGTAATTCTGAATTTTTAAGAAATGTATTAGTAATTTTTTACTTTTGACCTTCTTTTCTTGCTAGAATTAATAAGTTTCATTTTAATAATGAATTCAATCCAATTTATGTTTTCGAAACTTTCAATTATCTATACGATTATACTTTTACACTTGTCGGATTTATATACCATTTATAAGGAATGTTCTGTAGAAGTACAAACAACAATATTTTTTTCAAATTTTTTTCTTTGACCAACTTTGTTTAACTATAAATTGTTAACAAATAATTTTAGTGTATTTACTTAGACTGATCGACTTTAAATTTAAACGAGTGTTTTTTTGAATGTTTTAAATGAGTTATGTGGAGTGTACCTAATGGTTATATTTATAATTTATAGATTTAAAGTCGTTAAACATAGTTTACAAAAATATAGAATAGTTAGATATTTGTATTATTTATACCTAGTTGTAAAAAAAGCTATAATGGAGTTCGAATAATGATGAGTGATTCCTGATAATTAGTACCCTATTTATCAAAGTAGGTATGTATTAAAGAATTAAATTGTAAAATTTTAACCGTATCTATTAAAAAAATATTTAATTTTTTTAACAATTGACCTTTATTAAACTATAAATTATAGGGGCTGATATAGTTGGAAAGAAGTGAATGAGTGATGATAATACATAATATATATGTATATACTTCATTTATACCTTTTATGTTGATCCTAAATCTGTTATTGTGATATGTTTAATACTTAGGTAGAAACTAGATGATAGCTAATAAGTATTCATTGTGATGCGGGACGTTATAAGTGACCTATTAGTCACCTACTTTTAGGGTTAGATTTATGTGCTCTTTAAAATATACGTATAAAGAAACCTATAAAAAATATCAAATGTGTATTAAAAATAATAAAATTAATTAAACATTTATAATTTTTTGATAACTATAAAAAATAATATTGTAGGAAACAAAACAATTGTCTATTTGTAATTTTTTATACATTATTATACAAATTGTCCCAGAAGTCTCGTATTACACTTAGTGTTTTTGTAGTAAACAATACATTTAAATTTATTTTTTACAGTAATAAGTAAAAAAATACTTCTAATTGAATAAACACAAGTTTCAAATTTCTTAAAATTTAAAATACATATATATTAAAATTTAATGAAAATCAACCAAATCGTGCTAAAATTAAGTAACGTATGATTTTTAACTTAAAGTTTTGAGTTATTTCATTAATTTTCTAATTTTATTAAAAACTCTATTTTAACTCTTATGTATATTAATAAGAGAAATAAAATTGGTCAATGGTCTGCAGATAGATCAAAGAGCGTAACAAATGTCAACTACACCGTTAACATTCCTAAAAATATAATTGTATCTTCAAAATTATCCATATGTTATTTGTGCATACTGCATAGAAATTTGACTGTTGGAACACAAGAATCGTTCGCTTATAAAACGACAAAATGTTAAAAAAAAAAAAAAAATTAAATTAAACAAAAGCAAAATAAATTTTTTTAATAGTTTTATGTAGTTGATGTAGAAAGACATTTACAATTTTGTGATTAGAAAGTAAATATACTGTATAGCATAAATCAGGATCTAAAATTTGGAAATAAATTAATTTTTATTGATGAATCTATTTTAAAAATAAAACCTAGTTCTAATAGAGATTGATTAAAGCATGCGATATGTCAATATGTGTTAATAAGTTGTATCATTCTATTTTAACATTTTTTTTTATTCAAATTGTTTTAAAACATATGATAAATATAATGACTATTTTGAAAATTTAAAAAATTTAATTGCATACAATTTTCAAGAAATTTATAATATTTATTCAATTGAAATTTTTTTACTAATTATTTTAGTATCCAATTAAGTGTAACATTTAAATATATTGATTTATCACGAAGATAATATACTTAATTGGTAATACGGGACTTCTGAAACATATTCACGTCTACATCTCTACATTGCACTATATTACTATAAGCATTGCGCATAATGTACGTTAATACGTTATTACGAGTACTTATTACCATCGCAGCGGCGGACTGGGAGAAAAAAAATCGATCCAGGAAAATTGTAGCTCAAGTAGCCCAAATTTAATTATAGTCATAGAGTGTGATACCCTTAATTTAATATTAAATTTTTTTACTTAAAATTCTCCATTATATTGTATTTTGTTTTTAAAATTAGACATTCTAATTTTTAAATCATGATATTGATAAAATTAAAACTAAAACCAATCTATAAACAATGTAAAATAGGTGGATTTAAACATTGTATTAAGAGTCAAGAGAGATTCATTTATATTTATATTTTTAAATGAACAGTATACATAGTTTAAAAAAAAATCTCTGATATAAACTGGATTTTTTAATATGAAAGTTTGTCTTTTAAATTTTAATAAATTGTTTTTTTTTTTTAATA